TCCCTCATTGAAACACACACATCACAAGCATGCACGCGCGCGCACACAGTACAGACGCAGAATGGCCCTTGTGTCTGAGTCCGGCTCTGCAGGAACAAGCTCCTCCCTGTGAGCTGTCTGTAGTAGTTTCTGTTGTAAATGCCCTAAGTTGGAGAGGCCCTGAGCTGCAGCTGCAGTGAGTGTTAGCGCACATTAGGGCACGGAGAAATGCCACCGCGGAAGGTAACACATGGGCTGCAGCGCGGCTGGTGGAGCAGGGCGAAGTCGGTGTCTTGGACGGAATCCATCTCCACTGCGGAGTTATCACGAGGGGAGAACAATATGGCCAGGAGCGGTGGGAGAGGACGCCCCCCCCCCCCGCCCCGCCCCGGCTATAGCTCCACGCTGCACCACCACTGAGGCGGGGCGCTCCCCTCACTCCCCCTCCCTAACCCCCCGCGTACCAATAATGCTATTTTTTGGGAGTCAAATTGGGATTTTTGTTCCCAGACTCAACTTATTGCAATTAAGTACCGGCCCAGGGAGAGTAGTTGGTGTGAAGAAACGAAGTTTGAAAAACAGAAAAATTAGAGAACTTTTCAAGTATAATCAAACAAACAAAACACATAGTCATTTTAAAATTGCCTTACAGCAGAATCCGCGTCCTGAAGTCTTTCCAGACTGACCCTTTGATGTTGGTTCAGGACTTAATGCATTGATACTCAGCGTCTGAATGCCCCCAAAAGCATTTGCCAGGAAGTTGAGTAAACGCACCGCCCCCGCCCCCGGCCCCAGGCTGTTTGTAATGCACATGCACTGAGACCTCCCGAAGGAGCCCCAAGAATCGCTCTGGACTCGAGGCTCAGCGCTCAGGTGCTCAAGCCAGCTGAGATGCATCCCCGACACGTCTGCACGTATGGATGCGTGCGTGTATGCGGATCTGTGTGTGCGCGTAAACAGCTTCTCATAACTGGAGCTGCGGCAGCGGAGTCCTTGGAAGGAAGGGGCGACGACGAGCCGTTGGAATCGTGATTCAGGACTATTAGGGAAAGAATGAGCTGCTTCTGAGTCATCGCGAGCCTCCAGACTTTCCCCGCAGTGTGGCAGAACTTTGTGCTGATGAGACAATAGTGAAGCGTGTGCGTTTCCTACAGGGCAGACCATTCCGGGGCTGGGGGAAGCCTGGGGCCTGCGCCGGGCCGCGGGGGCCTGGCCTCCTCCCCGCGCCGCGCAGCTCCCCGAGCCCGGCGGGTTTCGGAGTCCCCGCTGGGCGGGCGCGTCCGGGGCGCGAACGGGCAGCGCGGGGAGGAGGACGGGCGCGTGGCGGGCACCGCGCGCCCTCGCGTGTCCCCCGCGCCCGGGCGCAGCTGGCGCGGTCGGTCTAGTGCAGCGCTCGGCTCCGCGCCTCGGGCGCTCGGCTTCACCTTCAGAGGCGCGGAGCGTGCGCGTCCTCCTCCCCGGGCCGCCGCCTCCCCGCCAAGGTAGGGACCGCGGTGGGGGCGCCGCGGGCCCGCGGGGGCGGGAGGCGCAGGGCCGGGGCCTGGGAGCTCCTGGGACCTCTGTGTGCGCCGCTGTTGGGGGGCGCCGGGGAGGGGCTCCCGGGAGCTGAGAGGGCGGCTAGGCTTTCCCTGCTGGTAGTTGCTGGGCTCCGCAATTCCAGGAGAGGGAAGATGCAACTTCAGGCGGCGAGGCGAGCGCCGGGAGGTGGTTTTTACCGCAGTGGAGGGGCGGGGTGGGGGCCGGGGTGGGAGCGCGGAAGAGGCTCTGGCTTTGTACATTTCGTCAAAGGCGACGCGGGAGGAGGGGAGCTCGGATGCGCTCTCCATCCATTAGGAGACAAAGAGCAAATTGCCTTACTTTAAAGTAAAACGCTCTGGTTAATGAAGGTGAGTGATGGGGCTGCGGGGCCCGAGGAGCCGCTTCAATTATTAAGGGTTTGGCTGATGGGATCGATGCGGTGGGTACCGAGCGCTGCTGCCTTGGGGAAGTGTTAGCGTGAGGGGGGGTTGTTTGCCCTCTCCCCTGCCCTGTTTGCCTGCCCATTAGCTGGGAGCATATAAGTGATCCTAACATTAAAGAAGTGAGAGCCTGATAGGGAAGTTAGGGCAGGGGTGGGGGCGGGAGTGGGGGCGAGGGTTCCCGCACTGACTCGGACAGGGGTGGGAAGAGAGGTCCGGATGGCTAGGACTCCTCGGAGAGGCACCCAGCCAGGCTGGGGCAGGGACTATGGTGGTGGTGGTGGTTGGGGGCGGGGGGCGGGGGGCGGTGAGGGTGAGGGTGGGGAAGTTACTTATCTCAATGTATACATACCCGGGTATATCCAAGAAAAGAATGCTGTGGATGTGTGTGTGTTGTGTGTGTGTGTGTGTGTGGGGGGGGGGGGGGGGTTGGAAAAGCGCTTAGTCTGCTATTTCCAGAGAGAACTAGCATACTGAATAGCTACGACCAGTGTTTTTAGATTAAACCGTCTCGTTAAGTTTTAAAGAAACTTTGTATGGATAAGTTCCCTAAAAGCCAGAGCGTTGGTTATTTAAAACAGGAGGAAGGTTGGTGCGGTGACAATCAGCCCCAGTGGGCTGGGAAGGCAGTAGACCCTGCGGTTAGGAACCAGCGAGACCCAGCCTTTTACCAGAAAATGTGGGTCTGTAAGTCAGCCCCATTTATTATCAGCCTTAATAAGCTCCCTGCAGCAGACGGGAGCTTCTGGGCTGTTTGTATGTTACTCATTCCGCTGGGCTTGTTGGTAAAGAATTACTTGGTCTCCGGGTGTGCAAAGATTAACTTGCTGAGGCCCCTTTTAAAATATATTCATTCTGTGCCTTATTTAATCCAGATGCACAAAAAGCCATTTGCTGCTTCATTGTTGGTTTACATTTTTTTTTGAAAAGGCGACTGGTGTAACCTGTGGAATTTGAAATGCAAATAAAAGCCTGTGGGAGTTGAGGCAGAACAAATCGGCGTTTATAAAGTGAAAAAGATTTAATGTCTTTGAAATCATTGCAGAGGAAAAAAAAAAAAAACACGGGAGAGGGGGAGTCATTTTTCAGGGAGTGAATTGTGACGTCAGGTCTTTTTGGAAAAGATATTTTTAAGGTCTGAAACCCGGGTATGTAAAGTGCTTACAGGAAAAACAGATTACAAGATTAACATCTGTTAACATGATCATTTATCTCCAGCCAAAAATAGGTCAGTTCTTAAGGAAACACGATTGCTGGCGCATACTTAAATAAAATTAAAAGAATGAATTCTTAAATTAGGACCAGTGTTTTTTATAATCTGACCTATGAAAAGACATTTTTTATTTCGAGATCAGTGAAAGGTCAAAGTTCCTTTTGAATGTTGAGAACAGCTCTTCATCCTGCGTCCACCCCTCCCGGAGGACCCCCCTTTCTCCTTACTCTGAGCTCTCTCTTCGCCCCCTCCCGGGATTGCTAATTTCCCTTTTCATCCATTGTGGAAGTACAAAATATACTTAAGTGGATATTGTCTGATGCCCCCTCGTTAAAGAAGGAAAACTCTCCCCACAGATGGCTAACTTTCAGAGCTCTGCTGTTCTTTTACCATTAAATGAAATGCGGGGGTGGGGGGTGGGGGGAAGGAAACAGCCTTGTAAAGTTTCCCTGCCCCTGAGTGAGAATGACGGCTCTGTTGGCCAATCCGTAGCGGCTTTTTCCATCCCGGAGGTAATTTGGGGTGTGAGTGTGTGTGTGCGCGCGCGCGTGCATGCGCCCATGTGTCTGCACACTGTTAAGTCCCACTTAGCCCCGCGCATCCGCAGGCTCCTGATTTGCACAGCTGTGTGCTGTAGACGTGGACACACTTTCATTCTAGTCTGTGCAGCTAAATGGGCACACTGCAGTTCAAATGGAGACCCTGCCTCCTCTGAGTGTCCTTCTGTAAAGAATGGACATAAGAAGCGCTTTCGGATTCCAGTCGAAACCTGGAGAAGGGGAAAGAAAAGAGGAGTGATGTGATTATGCTTCTCAAAAACTGGGGAATCGGCTCCTTTGGTCTCGTTCCCACGCGGCAGGCGCGCCCCAGCGCTCTTGGGGTGCGGGTGATGGAGCCCACTCGCCCGGCTCAAAGTGCAGAGAACGAGAATTGTTGAAACTGCTGCTAACTCCGCACTAAAATGAAGGCAGCATGTACCTTTCGACTTCAAATTTTATTTCTGGAAGTTGATACTTGGTCCTTGGCAAATTCTAGAATGTGATCTGCTCATGTTCAGTGAAAGTTCTGTGGCTCGCCGCGTTATGAGTGCGGAGCACGGGCGATGGGCGCATTCACGGGCGGAGAGCGTCACGGGCAGCCCCACGCTGCGTATGGGCATGATCTGGCACCAGCTTCCCTGGGAATGTTGGCAGTGATGTGTGTGGAAGCGTGTGGACCAGACCTGGTCTTGTAGCATCTGTCACTGTTGGAGTTGCTGGGCTGCCTCACTTCTGGATGGATGGTGATGTTGCAGTGCAGGGGTTAAGGACCCATGTGTGCCCCCTCCCTGCCCAGAGACCCCTGCTGGGAGATTCCTGGGAGAGACCCGTGTCCCGGCTGCCGGGCCGGACCGAGGTCACCCCGAGGGCCTACGGGCGACCCCAGGCGACCTTTGTTCTCCCCCTGCAAGAACCTAACTCGGTTAAGAGGCGGTGTCCAGCCCCGCGCCTCCAACTCGGGCCATTTCCGCCCCCCAAGGCGGAGCTGGATCCGATTCTGCCTCCCGCCCTCCCAGTGAGCTCGCGGGTTGAGGAATGGGCAGCAAGGGGGAGGTGTCGCGGGATTAAATCATTCCTATTTCTGTATCTCTAAGCGTTTCGGCGCTGGGTCTGGGGCGCCGCTGGGGAGGCTGGGGGCGGGGCGGGGGCGGGGGGATTTACCTGCCCGCCCCGGGGGCGGTGGCGGTGGCGGTGGCGGCTTGTTGCTGGGCTTCCTGGGGGCGGGCCGTGGGCGGGGCGGCTGGGATAGAGGTGGGGGGAGGGCCCGGCCCGCGCCCCCGCCCCCCGGCGCCCGCCCCCCGCCCCCCGCCCCCGTCATGTGGAGCGGACGTCACACGCCTGCACTGTAACCCAAGAAGTGAAAGAGACGGGGACCCACGGCCCAACTTCGCACCGTAACAAAGACGGGGGTCCGTGCGGGTCGGAGGGGGACCAGCTGGGGAGGGAGAAGGCTGGAGGATGGGGGGAGGGGCAGGGGTCAGGGAGTGGGACGGCTGGGGAGTGGGGGCCTGTGGGGGCGGGGTGGGGGTCTTCGCGGGGCTGGGGAGTCGAGGCCAGCCCTGGCTCGGGGTCCGTTGCGGGGGGGGGAGGGCGGGGTTCTGCGCCAGGCCCGGGGGTTTGCGCGGCTGCAGGGACCGCGCTCCGGGGCCCAGGCGCCAGGGAGACCAGGTAATTGGTTTCTATTTTAAACTTCACTTTGTTCTGGCGGAGGTGGGGCGGTGGGAAAGGCGTGGCCCCCAGGACGATTACATAAGTGTTCACACCTGATTTGGTCTGGGGCCCGGGACCCCGCTCAGGTTTGGGTGGAAGGCGCTGGGGCTCACCGACCCGGGCACCCGGAGAGGGGCCATTGCGCGTGGGTGTGTGTCCTGCCGGGCGACCTGACCCAGCGGGGCGCTCGAGAAGCCGGGTGGACCAGGGACCGCCTTGGAAGCCCAGATGTGCCCGATGTGCCCGTGGGCGTGGGCCGAGCCTGCCAGCGGGGTCCACCGAGTAACAAAGGGCAGGGCTTCGGGACCCCGTGCTGACCTAACAGCAAGTCACAAAAGGAACTTTAGACAGTGGTCTTAATTAAACATTAGTTTCCCCCCGTGAACCTGCCATTAAGTCTCCAGTCCTGATTAAAGATGATTTAAAAATGGATGTATCTTCACGCCGTGGCTGTGTAGTAAATACCCTTAAAGAACTGACCAACGTCGAAGCAGGGCTGGCTTTTCCCCCAACAGGATCTTCTCCAGATTATTTTCCAAGCCGCCCCCGGAATATGATTTGGGTATTTTGGTTGAGGAATGTAAGTGCTACTTTAAGGAAGGAGGCATGTGTACTATTCAATAGGCTACTTTCTCCTGCCGCGTTAAAAGCTCATTTTATCATTTGTTTGTTCCTCCTTCATTTTCTCTTGCATTCTTTGTGGCATCGAAATCACTTGTTATTTATATTTACATAGACCAGCCAGAATTAAACATACCACATACCACATGCTACTGCTGCGTGTGAATGGAGAGTTTTCCCCTCTTGGTAAAATTGGAGAGAGTTGAGCGGAGCGGGGGGGTGGTGCCTGGGTCTGAGAGTTGGATTACAGGGAGGACATCTTTGGTTTCACAAGAGAGCCGGCCATGCCATCTTGAATGGGCCCTGGGAGAAACTGAGCTCTGGGCAAGGCTCAAGTCTTTGGGGAATGGAATTAGAATTTGGATGTGCTGAGATGCAAACAGTGTGACTCACATTTTTCTTAGTTCATTTCTAGGACTTTGTTTTCTTAAACTTGCTAATTTGCATACGCTGAAACATTCAGGGCACTTTAACATTCTAAACAAATAATAATCCCCTGGGTGTGTGATAGAGCTAACCAGGAGGCCTGGGAGTGCCTCTCCGAAGTGAAACCAAACAGCTAAATGCATATTTGGTAGGGACAGGATTCAACAGTCCAAAGGCAGGCATTTTGCTTGTTTCTGTTTCTGAGTCATCTTCCCAAAGACTTACTGTACTGAAATGCACTGGCTCAAGAACTTTAACTTTGGAATGTGTCACTGATGATCTGGGAATACTTTATACGACAGGAGTTAATCCCACTTATTTGTAAACAACTTTTAAAGTTGCCTGACTAATTTAGAGATTAATCAGTCTGAAGGCCTGCGTTTCTAACTTTACAAGATGTTGTCCCAGAAACCAGCCTTCAGTGAATAGAATAAGAGATGGTTGTGGAAAGAGGTCAATGTTGAAAGTATGTTGTCTCCACGTCTACAAATTCAGTTGCACCTTTATTTACCTGACTTGTTCCTACTTTTGGATATTTGAGTCTTGTAGGTAAAGCATTTGATGTTAAGATTAACTGAACAGGGAAAGGAGGCTTCTTAAAAAGAATGCCTCAAAATGAGGTGTACTTTAACAGATGGTTTTCGGCCTTACCAAATGAATGATAATGTGACCTGCAAATGTAAGTAGGGCTTAGTCATGGATTGTTCTTGAAAAACCAGTACTCAATTTATTGGGTTGTTGTGGATTTTTATTTATTTGATTTCAGGATATATATTGCTCTTATTTATATGTTATCAGAAGGAATCTTTTTAAAATTGGGAGGGAGTGGCTGCAAGTCTGACTGGAGGTTGTGTTTAGAGTTTCAGCGGCATTATACCTTAATGCCATGGAAATAGGAAACTGAAATATAAGCTGATTACGTTCAGCAGGAAGGAGCTTGTCCAAACCAGTGCGCTTTCCTGATATAATATGCTTGCTTTAAATGTTCAGGACAGTACTCTGTTTTGGTTTTTATTCTATTTTCATTGGCGAAAAGGGCATGTGTTAATTATATTATTAAAAATGGAATTTTGCTTATAGTGTAACTAGATTTCTGAGTGAATAAGGCTTCTCTATTGCACGGGAAGGAAACAAACAACTTTTTCATTGGCACTTGAAGTCCAGTTCAGCTGGAGACATCTACACTAGGTGATAGGCATAGATTTAAGCAGAAGTCATAGAACTAATGGAAGAAAGCAGAAGAATGTTAAATTTATTTGATGAGATATTTGCATTATAAATACTTAAATGCAGAAGTAGCATTCCTTCTTCAAAGGCAGACATCTTACTGTTGTAAGTGTGTAAACATTTACAGCAGTAAATGTGTATAGAGCTAATCTGACACAATTAGTCCTTTCAAAAATGCATCTTTTGGCTTTCCTGACCCCTCTTCCTCAAGAGTCCTGGAGGCTGTGGGAGAGTCTGATGAGCCCTCCTCTTAGTGAATATAGTCCAGACAATACCTTTGGGCCCTTGGGCACCCTGGGGGGCCTGGTGTGTGCTGGTCCGGCCCCAAAGCATGCTTCTCCTTCAGTGTGGGCTCACCTGCTGCCCAACTAGCACCCATCACTTAGAGCTGCCTGGGCTGGCTTACCACGTGGCACCTTTGATCGCTTCCAGAATTATTAATATCTAAATGTGAATAATTAATTGCATTACTGTCTTTAGCTCCCAGACCCGTACTCTGGTGGAAACTGCATGTCATGTGGGTTTGCATTTTTCAAGTGAATTGCAGTGTTGGGATGTGGGTGTGTTCTGAAGCCTGACCAGGAGCTGGTTGGAAGATATGTCCATGTGGTATGGAGACGGATGACGGGATGCAGCTTCTAGGAGGGAGATGGAAGTGTGGACGACTGATTTGAATCCACGAGCTTTGTGCACTTCGCCAGAAAGTTTGGGGAGCAGCAGTTAGTTGACTTCTTTCTGTGTTGGGCTTGGTGCTAACTGGGAGCAGGAGCTAACCCAAGTGACTGTGGTCCTCTTCTCCCTCCTCCCCTCCCTGGGGCTCTCACCCCCCAACCTTTCTATCTAATGGCCAACAGCGAGTGTGTTGGCAGCAGCCTGTTAAGGACTGAATGTGTCTTGGGAGTGACAGCATTTTCCAGAATCAGGCCTTGACCTCAGTCTTTTTTGGCCTCAAGGACAAGTGAGTTTGGGGTGCAGGAGGTGGACAGTTCTCTTTGATGGAGGGATGACCTCTGCCCTGAGTAAGGTGAGATCATACCCCCTCCCCACTCCCAGAGGTGGGGGAGTGATTTACAGGGGGAGTCCTCTTTATCACTGGACTCTAGCTATGAATTATCTTAGAGTTTTCAGGAATATTGGCAAATTGTCAAAAAACCATTTTAAGGAAGGAATCACATCAAATGTTTATGAAGAATTTCTTAAAATTAACCTTATGAGAAGACTGAGGAAAAACTTTATGCATTTGAAATCTCATCTACTTCTTTAAAAAGCATCTTTATTTAGAATTAATTTTTTTCAGCAGAGGACCATTTTAGGGGCATGACGTGGCTGTAGGAAGGGTACCTATAAGGGCGCCGCGAATGCACTGCTTGTGTTTGAGATCCGAGAGCGGCTCAGGCCTATCAAGTGTGTCTGAGCGGGGAAAGGGGCAGTTGTAACTGTCCATTTGTGCAGTCTTTGTCCCTCGAATCTGGCTACACGTGATTTGAGCAGCTGAAGCGTTTCTTTCCGAAGCTCGCCTGGCTGTCATATTTATGTACAGAATGAGATGTTTTCTAGTGGCCTGCATTCGAGTGGTAAGGCAGTGTGATTCGATGGCTCTGCACTTCTCTTAAAAGTCATTTTTCAAAAAAGATGGGGCGTTTAGACTTCACTTCCAAAGGCACTGAAAATGACAAAGCAGCAATAATTAGACATGCAGCTGTTTTCAGCATGCACACATATGAATATCTGTAATGAGCAGAACACTACACAGGGGAATAGAAAAATAAATAGTTTAAAAAGCAGCTATGTCAGATATAGATACATTTTTCTGTTTACTTCATTCTGGTTGATTTTTTCCTCTGGTGTGTGTGTGTGTGTGTGTGTGTGTGTGTTCAGCAATTTAGTTGCTAAGTTCTCAAACCCACTTTAAGAAAAAGATATTATACAGAGTGGGGCAAAAATAGGTTTACAGTTGTGAGTACACAAAACACAGTTTATTCTTGGCTTATTATGTGCTATTATTTTCCCTCCAAACAATTGTAAACCTATTTTTGCCCCACTCTGTACATGATGGTGAAGTTTAGATAGTTCCTGGATGGAGTGGTGAGAATAGGGTGAGATATTAGTATGTTTTCAAGACAGAATGAATCTGGTGTTCTATTCCTTCAGAAGCAGGTAGACTTGTCTCTCACCGTGTGGCACCCCAGGGAATTGCTGATGTCAGCTCAGCCCTGGGGTACAGCTGTCCTCCTATTTTCTTGCTCATTTAGGGGATAGTGAGTGCAGGCGACATGTGGTGTTGGCTTTCAGCGCCCCGTGAAAGGGAGACTTAGAAATTTAGGCTGTATGTTAAAACGCTGTAGTTTTTTCTTAATGGCTAAGAATTAGTAAATTTTTTTTCAACATTATTTAGTAACCCTTGACAAACCCTTTCCTCTTCACT